TCTCCAGCAGAACGTTCTCTTGAAAGTCAAAGGAGAATGAGTGTATTTGGGTATCTAAAATGCAGGACTTCTTCAGAGGGGGTAACAAAACTCCTGACTACAGAGTAGATTTGGGGTCAGGATTTATTGATAACTCACAAGGATAAATTTTAGATAGTACCTGTCCCATTTTTATGCTTAAAGATCGTGTTTATTGTGAAAGGTATTTGTTTAAAAAATCCCCCTATGTAATATTGAGGAACAATAATAATAATCCTAAATTAATGTGCCCAGAAAACACTGTCTAGGCAAGCTGTCAAGAATTTTAAAAGAGGGATCTGACAAAGTTAGTCTTGTTCCTTTGTCACTTAGGCCTGGTCTACACTAGGAGGTTATGTCGAATTTAGCAGCGTTAAATCGAATTAACCCTGAACCCCGTCCACACAACGAAGCTATTTAGTTCGACATAGAGGTCTCTTAAATTCGACTTCTGTACTCCTCCCCAACGAGGGGAGTAGCGCTAAATTCGACATGGCCATGTCGAATTAGGCTAGGCGTGGATGAAAATTGATGGTAATAGCTCTGGGAGCTATCCCACAGTGCACCACTCTGTTGACGCTCTGGACAGCAGTCCGAGCTTGGATGCTCTGACCAGCCACACAGGAAAAGCCCCGGGAAAATTTGAATTCTTTTCCTGTCTGGGCAGTTTGAATCTCATTTCCTGTTTGGACATCGTGGCGAGCTGAGCCGCACTGACAACGATGCAGAGCTCTCCAGCAAAGATGGCCATGCAATCTCAGAATAGAAAGAGGGCCCCAGCATGGACTGATCGGGAAGTCTTGGATCTGATCGCTGTGTGGGGCGATGAGTCCCTGCTTTCCAAGCTGCGATCGAAAAGACGGAATGCAAAGATCTACGAGAAGATCTCAAAAGCCATGACAGAGAGAGGATACAGCCAGGATGCAACGCAGTGCCACGTGAAAATCAAGAAGCTGAGACAAGGCTACCAGAAGACCAAAGAGGCAAACAGACGGTCCGGATCCCAGCCCCACACATCCCGTTTCTACGAGGCACTGCATTCCATCCTAGGTGCGGCCGCCACCACTACCCCACCTCTGACCGTGGACTCTGACAATTGGATATTGTCGACGGCCGCTTCCTCGGAGATGTTAGTGGACGGGGAAGATGAGGAAGGAGATGAGGAGGACGAGGCAGTCGACAGCGCTTACAATGCTGATTTCCCAGACAGCCAGGATCTCTTCATCACCCTCACAGAGATCCTCTACCAACCGTCCCCAGGCGTTAACCCTCACCCAGAATCAGGGGAAGGATCAGTTGGTAAGTGTTTTAAACATGTAAACATTTATTTTGAACAGAACATTCATATTGACAGTGGATTTTTCATGAGTTGTTTGCCCTAGGCGCTTAACGTTTCAGTCCTTGGCAGTGCAACTACTGCAAAAAAATCTAACAATGTCTGGTTTATCATGATTGGTTTGCCCTAGGCGCTCTACTGTTTAGTCCTTGCCAGTGCAGCTACAGTAAAATTCGGTCTATATGTCCGGGGATAGAGCTGAAATCCTCATGGGACATCTCCATGAAGCTCTCCTGGAGGTAATTGGAAAGCCTTTGCATGAGGTTCCTTGGGAGAGCGGCCTTATTGTGTCCTCCGTAGTAGGAAACGTTTCCGCGCCAGGAGATCATCAAGTACTCCGGGATCATTGCCTTGCAGAGCATGGCGGCATACGGCCCTGGTCTTTGCAGGCTTTCCCGAAGCATCCATTCTTTCTCGGTCTCTGAAATCCTCATGAGAGTGATGTCGCTCATGGTGACCTGCTTTGAATTAGGTAGGGGAATGTTAGTATTGGGACTGCTTGCCTGTTCCTTTACAGAACTGTAACCGGCGGTTTACAGCCACGCGGTGGAGGCGGGAGAGGGGCAGCATACAGGGATCTTTCCCTGGGACAGCCGCGAGGGGGTGGGACGGGGCAGAGTTCATGCTTGCCGGATTGCTGGCAGCAGGAACTGGCCAACGCTAGGAGCATTGCTTTGACCGTGAAAGGAGGCCAGTGCTATTATTAAAGTTTTAAGCAGCCACAAGTCTACGGCTTACCATGTCAGCCTGCTACCCAAATTCCGCTGTCCTGCCCCGCTTCTCTGATCTGCACTGCAAGACCCCAGGCATTGAATGCGAAGACCAATAATTTGACCTTGTCCTGAGTGCGCATGTGATAGGTGCTGTGCATGGTCTTGTTCACAGAGAAAGACTATGTCCTTTGTTCACAACAAAATGTATCTTTCTGGGGAATTCACTCCCTTTTTCCCATCCCACAGCTGCGACTGTCTCCCGACCTACCCTGGCATCACAGTCCCAGAGGCTGGCGCAGATTAGGCGTAGAAAGAAAAGGACACGGGACGACATGTTCTCAGAACTTATGGGCTGCTCCCGAGCTGAGGCAGCCCAGCAGACCCAGTGGAGGGAGAACATGTCCCAAATCCATCGAGCACACATTGAACGGGAGGAGAGGTGGTGGCAGGAAGATCAGCAGGCGACTCAAACGCTGCTTGGACTAATGAGGGAGCAAACAGACATGCTCCGGGGCCTTGTGGATGTTCTGCAGGACCGGAGGCAGGAGGACAGAGCCCCGCTGCAGTCTATCTGTAACCGCCCTCCCCCGCCACAAAGTCCCATACCCCCCTCACCAAAAGTACCAAGAAGGAGGGGCGGCAGAGTCCGTGAAAACTCTCACTCCACCCCTGCAGACTGCTCAAGGAGCAGAAGGCTGTCATTCCCCAAAATTTGAAAAGTCCTTTCCTTCCCGCCTCACCCAAGCCCCCGTCCCTGTTTTATCCCCTAACTGTGTAGTTGCTAATAAAAAATACGTTCCTGTTAATTACTGTTTCCATCATGTTCTTTTTGAGGAGAGTCTGTTTGAAGGGGGGAAAGGGGTTGGTAATTGGACAGGACAGTCACCTTTACCAGGGTACAGACGCGGGGGCAGGTTCAGCAGCAGGTCACACACACATTGCAGTCACTAGGCACCCTGGTCAGTCTGGGAGGTGGTTTTCATGTTCTGTGTGTGGGGGGGGGCTATGTGACTTTGTGGCGGGGGAGGGCGGTTAGAGATCTTATGCAGCGGTCCTTATCCTGGATCACAGAGACACGCAGCAGGGGGTCTGTAACCATCCTCCCCCTGCCACAAAGTCACATAACCCCCACACACAGAGTCTCAAACAGGAAGGGTGGCAGGCTCCGTTGAAACAACCAGTCCACCAGTGCGGAGCCTGTCATTCCTCGAGTTTAGAAACGTCCTTTGCATCACTACACTACACCCGCTCCCCACCACAGTCTGCGTCCCAGTTTCAACACTTTACCGCGAAAACAGTAATAAAGACAACTGTGTTCATTAACAAATTGCCAGTGATTTTATTTTTAAATGTGTTTTGGAAGGGGGGGAACGGGGTGAACGGGGTATGTAACTGGAGAGGATAGTGAACATTCACTGGGTAAAGAAACGGGGGCAGGTTCAGCTTCTCTGTAAACAAACTTAATAGTCACAGGTTACCCTGCTCACTGACGAACCTAGCTTTCAAAGCCTCCCGGATGCACAGCGAGTCCCACTGGGCTCTTCTAATTGCACGGCTGTCTGGCTGGGCGTAATCAGCAGCCAGGCTATTTGCCTCAACCTCCCACCCCGCCATAAAGGTCTCCCCCTTGCTCTCACAGAGATTGTGGAGCACACAGCAAGCTGCAATAACGATGGGGATATTGGTTTCGCTGAGATCACAGCGAGTCAGTAAGCTTCTCATCTCCCCTTGAGACGTCCAAAAGCACACTCCACCACCATTCTGCACTTGCTCAGCCGGTAGTTGAAGAGTTCTTTTTCAGTGTCCAGGGCGCCAGTATAGGGCTTCATGAGCCAGGGCATTAGCGGGTAGGCTGGGTCCCCGAGGATGACTATAGGCATGTCCACATCCCCAACAGTTATTTTGTGGTCCGGGAAGTAAATACCTTCCTGCAGCCATCTAAACAGACCAGAGTTCCTGAAAACACGAGCGTCATGAACCTTGCCCGGCCATCCGACGTTGATGTTTGTAAAAAGTCCCCTATGATCCACCAGTGCTTGCAGCACCATTGAAAAATAGCCCTTTTGGTTAATGTACTGGCTGGCCTGGTGGTCCGGTCGCAGGATAGGGATGTGAGTTCCATCTATAGCCCCACCGCAGTTTGGGAATCCCACCGCAGTTTGGGAATCCCATCGCGGCGAAGCCATCTATGATGACCTGCACGTTTCCCAGGGTCACTACCTTTGACAGCAGTACCTCAACGATTGCGTTGGCTACTTGCATCACAACAACCCCCATGGTAGATTTGCCCACGCCAAAGTGGTTTGCGACTGACCGGTAACTGTCTGGCGTTGCAAGCTTCCAGAGGGCTATGGTCCTTAGGAATCAAAAAGATAATAAAAGATTAAAATGAATAAAAATATGAATCAACTCACCTGCCTCTTAAAAGTGGATCATAACTCTGATGAGAGATCCTGACCTGTGATTTTCCAGTTTTGTTTTCTTAGTCTGTTTATCTACTTACTTATTGATTTGTTTGTCTAATTTCTCTATCTGTCTCTGGGATACAGCATCAAAGTCCAATATTCTTTAACAGGAACAGAGAGACCCCTCAAGGTATGTAGAGTTATCGGTGTGAGTGGAGCATTTTGTCTATGTAAAACACACAAATTCCAGTATGATTTTTGCTATTTGTTTCTCTACATTTTGTCTATTTAAAAAAATATTTTACAGGTTTTAATAGGACTCTTTTTACATTCATCCTGCTGATCAGATTATTTGCACAAGCCACTTCAATTCAATTTTATGATATTTATTCATTTCATTTTTGTTTTTGTTTTTATGTTTGTTAGTTTTTTGGTCTTACAGGTTACAGTTTTCTTGAATAAATATCAGTGGAAAATCAAACCACAGTGATTGCATTTATTATCCTTGGACTTTCCAGTGACCCACAGATGCAGATTTTCTTCTTCCTGGTGTTTTTAGTTATTTATTTGGTTACTCTGGTTGGGAACATAATGATCATGATGGTGATAAGAGCTGATTCTCACCATCACACCCCCATGTACTTCTTCCTGTTCCATTTATCTTGTGTTGATATCTGCTATTCCTCAATCACAGTGCCTAAAATGCTGATAAACTTCCTAGCAGAGCACAAAACTATTTCTGTGAATGGCTGCATTGCCCAGATGTTCTTCATCATCCTCTCAGGTTCTGAAGAACTTTTCATTCTCTCAGCCATAACATATGACCGCTCTGCGGCCATCTGTGACCCATTGAATTACATGGAGAAAATGAGAAAAGAGATCTGTGTTCAGCTGGTGAGTGGCACATGGGCAATGGGTTTATTTCATGCCCTACTTACCACAGTTTTTACATTGAAGTTGCACTTTTGTGGGCCCAATCAAATCAGCCATTTCAGCTGTGAGTTCCCTCATCTATTACAGCTGTCCTGCACTGAAACCCTCACCAACCAAGTGGTGCTTCTCACTTCCGCTATGATATTTGGATCAAACTCCTTCCTCTTCACCCTGATCTCCTACATTCATGTCATCACCACCATCCTTAAGCTTCGCTCTGCTGAGGGCAGGCATAAAACCTTCTCCACCTGCAGCTCCCACCTTATTGTGGTTGGCTTATTGTACATGAAAGTTTTTTTCCAGTATACAAAACCCAGATCAGTCTCCTCTGTGCTTCTGGATGAAATGCTATCCCTCCAGTACAGCATCTTGACCCCCATGTTAAATCCCATCGTCCACAGCCTGAAAAACAGGGAGGTGTAAACAGCTGTAGGGAAAATATGGGGACATTCCTGTTTCTCAAGTAGCTGTAGGGACACAGAACTTAATTAGTTTTAAGAGCGAGATGGATACGTTTATGAGTTCGGCTGTATGATGGCATTTCTTGTGATGGTGTGGAGCAGGGCTCAGAAGCTCTGGAGCTCATTTCTGGTTTCTGTCTTTTGCTCCTAGCTGTCATGCTTCAGGGTTGCAGGAAGACATCAGCACAGGTCAGGAAGGGGATCCCCCTGCAGCAACATATTCTGGGAGGGATTTTTTTTACTCCTACCTCTGAAGCTGGAGAGGGGATATTGGATGTGGTGGGCCAGGACTCAGAGATGGCACTGAGCATTCTCTCTCTCAGATGTTTGCCTAGGCTGTTCAGGGACTATCAGTTATGTAAGCCTCTGTACAGATGATTGGAGAGTAGATAATGTAACACCTATTGTTAAAAAAAGGCTCCAGAGGCAATCACAGGCTGGTAAGCCAAACTTCTGGATCATACATATTGGTTTAAATTACAGTAAAGAATGAAATTATCAGACACAGAGATATACAGAATATGCTGGGGAAGAGTCAACATGACTTTTGTAAATGGAAATCATGCCTCACTAATCTATTAGAATTCTTTCAGGAAATCAACAAGCATGTGGACAAGGATTATACAAGGGATATAGCATACTCAAATTTTCAGAAAGCCTTTGACAAGTTCCCTCACTAAAAGCCCTAAAGCAAACTAAGCAGTCAGGGGAGAAGAAACAAGGTCCTATCATGGGTCGATAACTGGTTAAAGGATACAAAACAGCGGATAGGAATACATAGTCAGTTTGCAGCATGGAAAGAGGTAAATAGTGGGGTCTCCCAAGGATCTGTACTGGGACCTGTGCTGTTCAACATATTCATAAATGACCTAGAAAAAGAGATGAGTCTATGAGTCTATGAGATGAACAGTACGGTGGCAAAAATTGCAGAGGACAGAAAAATTATTCAATATAATTATATCAGAAGCAAGAAGCCTGGGAAACAATCATGGGGGCATTGGACAATCAAGGTGCTAAAGGAGCACTCAAGGAAGACACGACAGTTGCCGAGAAGCTAAATGAATTCCTTGCATTGGTCTTCACTGCAGAGGATGGAAGGGAGATCCCTTCACCTTAGGAGACAAATCAGAGGAACTGTCCCAGACTGAGGTGTCGATAGAGGAGGTTTTGGAACAAATTGATAAATTAAACACTAATAAGTCAAAAGGACCAGGTGTCATTAATCCAAGTGTCCTGAAGGAATTCAGATATGAAATGGAAGAACACCTTCTTTTCCTTACAGTCATGAAAACTGTCATTTCACTAGCACTTTCTCCCAGAATTGCCTTCCTCCTTCAGATTCCTCCCTGTAGGTCAGATCATGTCTAACATGGCACCACAGCCACACCTTTCACCCTCATTCTGACCACCCCACACAGAAAAGCCACTTGCTCCAGCTCCAGCCAGCTCCACCCCAGGTTTTGTGGTTCTGAGGTCCCAAATGGACTCATGGCCCATGGTAGAATAGTAGGTCACATCCATAGACTATTCTTTTATAGGCGTGTGTGTGTGCGGGGGGAGGGGAGTTTGTGTGTGTTTTTACAAAAGCTAAAAAGCCATTTGCACTGAAAACATTGGCTACCATGCTCCACTCAGCCTACATAAGGAATAAAGACTTACACTGGTTGTTAGAGACCTCAAGTTTGGGATTTTAACGGATCGTAGGGGAGCTAGGTGCTCAATCCTATTAATTGTCACACTGACTTTAAAACCACTAACCAGAACAAGACACATATTCCTCTCTATTTGGTAGTCTTACAAATATCCCAATAAACTGGGGACTGGACAGGTTGTGTAGAGTAATTGGGGTGTTGTCAAGGCTGAATACCCACTCTGTCACTCCGAGTGCAGAAGTGGGGCTCGCAAGGAATTTAAAAATTAATACTGGCCACTCCAGGCTTGTATTAAACTCCCAAGGTTACAGCTTTTCTCTGACCTTGGCTTGGTAAATGCTGCCACCACCCAAAAGCAAAAAACAAAACAAAAACAAAAAACCCTTTGAACCCAGGAAGGAACACTTGGGAATTACTCCCTGTGGGGTACTCTCAAGCCCTTTTCACCCCTGTCAGGGTTCCCTCCCCACTCTGAACTTTAGGGTACAGACAAGGGGACCTGCATGAAGACCCCCTAAGCTTATTTCTACCAGCTTAGGTTAAAAACTCCCCTATTCCTTTGATTAAGTAACGCTGCCACCACGAAGTGATTTAAACAAACATTTAGGGAGGGCCACTTGGAGCCCTACCTTACCCAAATATCCTCCCAAGCCCCTACACCCCTTTTCCTGGGCAGGCTTGAGAATAATCCCCCAAGTCCCTACACTCCCTTTCCTGGGGAGGCTTGAGAATAATATCCTCACAAATTGGTATAGGTGAACACAGACCCAAACCCTTGGATCTTAAAATGATGAAAAATCAATCAGGTTCTTAAAAGAAGAATTTTAATTAAAGAAAAGGTAAAAAAAAATACCTCTGTAAAATTGGGATGGTAAGTACTTTACAGAGTAACAAAAGACTCAAGAACATAGAGGATCTCCCCTCTAGGCAAAACCTTAAAGTTACAAATCCATGGATAAACCTCCCTCTAGACAAGGAAAATCACAAGCCAAAATAAAAGTAAGCTAACACAGTCCCTTATTATTACTTACTAATTCTAATTGAGTTGGATTGCTTGCCTTCTTGATCTGTCTCCAGCAAGCACACAGATCAGACAGACAAAGAACAGACAAAACAAAGCCTTTCCACCCTCCCCAGATTTGAAAGTATCTTGTCCCCTTATTGGTCCTTTATCAGGTTCCAGCTAGGTTACCTGAGTTTCTTAACCCTTTACAGGTAAAAGGATTTTGTGCCTCTGGCCAGGAGGGATTTTATAGTACTGTATACAGAAAGGTGGTTACCCTTCTCTTTATATTTATGACAACCCCCCTCCAGGGAAGAGCTGAGAAAGAAAACAAAGAAAATTAGCTGTGGCTACCAGCTAATCAAACAACATGCACAAACCTCTTAGGACACCAAAAATCGAATCCTGTTCTTAAAAAAGGTAAATGTTATTAAAACAAAAAGCAAGAAAATACATCTGGAATTTAGACTTTTGCTAGATTTTAAAAGAACAATTACAAACATCAAGCACCCAAAATAGCTTTCCTGAAGGTTTAGCTTAAAGGTTACAAGCAAACAAAAGCATTTGGGATTAGCACAGGGGAGTCCACAAGCCAATAAGAAATAAAAGAAATAATCCTAATCACATCTTTTTAGACATTCCCTAATTTTACTTACATATCTGGGTTTCCAGATAAGTAGGTTCAAATTATGAATTGATAATCTATAATCATACCTAGCTTAAAGCTGGTTACAGCGTTACTGCTCTGTGTCCCAGCAGCCCAGAGAACAAGAGACAAAGGGAAAGTTTCTTTTCCAATTTTAAAACGTTCTGCCTTTCCATTGGCTCTTTTGGTCAGGTGCCCACTCCTTTTCTTTTATCAATGGGGTTGTTAACCCTTTAGAGGTAAAGCACGCAGAGAATAGCCCAAGAGGGATTTTACCACTAACTGGCTGGCTGGGTGTCCATCAAAGGGAGCTACTCCCCCTCCTTCATATATCGTATGCCTCCCAAATCACAGACAGTGCTGGCCAGTCTGGTTCGAGTTGGGTCCACACCAGCTTGGATTTCTTCGTGGAGGTTTAGGAAACAGAGTTAATAAGATACACGCACCTCTAATTTTACTAATAGTTACATGAAGAACTCAACAGTACTTTTTACATTTCAAGGACTACAATGACTTAGAATACAGGGACATTTTTACCCAGCAGATTCTGGGAAACCTTCCTGGGAAAGTGCATCAGCCACTTTGTTAGAGGCTCCTGAAATGTGTTGTATTTTAAAATCAAAGTCTTGGAGAGCTAAACTCCACCGAATAAGTTTTTTGTTAGTCTCTTTGACAGTGTGAAGCCACTTCAGTGCAGTATGGTCAGTCTGCGGGTGGAACCGCCATCCCCAAATGTATGGGCGTAGCTTCTCCAGAGCATACACAATGGTGTAACATTCTTTTTCTGAGAATGATGAGTGGCTTTCCTTCTCAGAAAGTTTTTGCTGAGAAACACGACAGGATGGAATTGTTGATCTGGTCCTTCCTGCATTAAAACTGCTCCTACACCACGCTCAGATGCACCTGTGGTTAAGACGAATGGTTGGTTGAAGTCCGGGGCCCTGAGTACAGGGTCACATGTAAGGGCTGCCTTAAACTGGTTAAAGGCTTTCTGACAATTCAGTCCACTGCACTGCATTTGGTTGTTTTTTCCTGGTCAGGTCTGTCAGTGGGGTGGCAATTTGGCAGTAGTTTGGTACAAATCGTCGGTAATACCCGGCCAAGCCCAAGAAGGACTGAAGCTGCTTCTTTGACTTAGGGACAGGCCAACTGCCCCAAGAGCACCAGCCGACTACAACTCATCACCCTGGAGCAGGAGTGCCACCAGCTTTTCTGCCGCCCTAGGCGGCAGAAGGTCCCGCCCCGAAATACCATCACGGTTGCTGCCCCCCAAATTGTAGCACCCTAGGCGACCTCCTAGGTCACCTAATGGGTTGCGCCGGCCCTGCTCTGGAGTTCCACCAAGAGCCTTCAGGCTCAGATGTCTTTCAAATACCCCCAGAGCGAAGGGAAACTATGAATGTGGGCAGTAGGAAGATTACTGCATGGAGAGACACTGGAGCACAGGTGTCAGCTATCCATCAATCCCTGGTGGACCACAAGTACATCGACCCAGATGTCCAAGTGACAGTGCAGCCCTTTAAGGTCAACTCTTTTAACTTGCCTACAGCCAAGTTGCCTGTCCAATACAAAGGCTGGTCAGGGATATGGACTTTTGCAGTCTATGACGATTATCCCATTCCCATGCTACTGGGAGAAGACTTAGCTAACCATATGAGGCT